GCTAGTAAATATGGTAAAAAATACCATTGAATTAGTAAATACTTTTTTAAACTAGTAATTTTTAAATATTGTCATAAATGGGGTAGGAAATTAATTGAAGTTGTAAATATTCCCACAAATTTGGTAAACAATGCAATGAAGCTGTACATATTTCCATAAAGAATCAATTGAAGTCATAAATATTGCCATAAAGTTGGTAAATGATGCATTGAAGTTGTACATCTTCTTGAATTAGTTGTAAAATTATTCATAAATTAATCACACATCTGTTGTTCTGATTGATCAATCATATTTATTGATCGATCACGGAGTAGTAAATATCATAAAAAATACCATTGAATTAGTAAAAAAAATTCACAACTCTCGTAAAAAAATTGATAACTCTCATAATTATTAACTTCATTATTGTTAAAAAAAACATTTACTATAGTAATTATTTACACAAATGTGGTAAACAATCCACTGAAGTGTTAAATATTGCCATAAATGTCGTAAAGAATCTATTGAAATTGTAAATGTTGCCATAAATGTGGTAGGAAAGTCATTGAAGTTGTAAATATTCCCACAAAATTGGTAAATAATCCACTGAAGTTGTAAATTTTCTCATAAAAAATCCATTGAAGTTGTAAATATTCCAATAAAAGTGGTAAATGATCCATTGAAGTTGTAAGTATTCCTGGATTAGTTGTAAATTATTCATAAATTAACCACACATATGTGTGTTATGATCGATCGATCATGTTATTTATTGATCAATCATGGACTAATAAATATCATAAAACATACCATTCAATTAGTAAATACTATTCTCCACTAGTAATTTTGCCACAAAACTGGTATATCTTTCTCAATTGAAGTCTCAAGTATTCCCATAATCGTAAAGAATCTATTGAACTTGTAAATATTGCCATAAATGTGGTAGGAAATCAATTGAAGTTGTAAATATTGCTACAAATTTGTTAAACAATTCATTGAAATTGTAAATATTCCCTTCACTATAGTATCAACATCGTATTATATTTTAATAAAATAACTTTTAGTAATCATGATGTATTATCTAACATGTCATTTCATTGTCTTGTCTTGTCTATCAACCGGTATCTAACAAGTAACCGGTTACTATTTGGAAAAAAAATAAATTTCAAAAGACACATTAATCAACGGCTCACTTTTCTTGTTAGATAAATTTACGGTGCACGTTCAATTTTCGGTACCCTACCGAAAATCCCCTTGGATGTACCGTAGCCTGGTCCTACACTAACACTTTCCCTTGATTGACTCCATGTGTTCCAAACATTCCTTTTCTAACTTCAACCAAAAAGGAAAAATATGATGTTTTGTTCATGTATTTGATTCTCTTGGGGAACTTCCATCATCAGTGCCAAGGACCTCTCTGCATCGTAACTGTGCTTCCACCTCCGCTACTCCATCACCACTCTCTAATCTCTCTCCATTCCTTATCAAGAGCCACCAAGCAACCCAAAACCCAAATCACCCATCACCAACAACACACTGTCATCACCCAATATTAATTCACGTCAAATCAAAATAAAAAAATCTAAGACTGATTTGGGTCCAGCTCACGTCATTTGAAAAATCAAAATAGTAGTGGTTATGGGCAATGGCTGGTTGGAAAAGATGAAAAGGAAGAAAATAAAAGGTATCAGTGGTTGCTAGTGGATATGAGTGGCAAACTAAGGTAAATGAAAGAGATATGAAGAAGTGTCTGGCAGTGGTTAGATATAATGGACTGGTTGGAGAAAAGAAAAGGCGAAGAAGAAATGTGGGTATGGTTTAAAAACTATTTATACCAAATCAATTATTAAAAATAAATAAAACAACTATCCCAAATTTGTATTAAACATATTTCTAAATCACTAATACTATTTGGACAAGGGCGGAGGGAGGTTAGGGCCAGGGTGGGCACGTGCCCCCCCTAAAAAAGAATTTTTTTTTTTTTTATTGAAGTATATATATTATATATTTGTATAATATATTATTTGTGCCCACCCAAAATCTAAGATAAAAATATTAGGCCCACATTATTGACTTAAAAGAATTAAAAAATTAAGCCCATTTAAAATTAAAAAATTTGAGCCCACTATTATCTACCAAAATTTATTAAAAATTAAATTTTTGACTTATCACAACCCACCCAAACCTATTAAAAAAATAAAATTTTTAATCCACCATTAAAAGACAATGTTTTTGGCCCACCAGCATATGCCCGAGGGGGGGGGGGGCACATGTCCACCATCAATTTTTTTTCTTAACATTACCTATATGTATTTCAAGTATTTCTTCAATATTTTTAATTATGTCCACCCTATTTTTTTGGCACATCAATTAGTGAACACTTATATCAAATAAATATGAATTTTTTTGACACATTTTGGACATGTTATATATATAAAGACCAAAGTGATAAAATGATGGTGTATGTAAAAAATAATAAAGTTGTTAAGCAACAATTTCAAAGTATGAAAATTTACCGGAGTCAATTCTAAATGATTTTAATTAGCCTATATTTGTTAAAAAAAAAAATTGTGTCGTTTGTATATACTAAGCTTACCAAATTTTGGTATGTTGGATTTAATGAACTTTTAAGTATTAAATAAGATGTAATTAAATATAAATTATTGTCCTATTTCTATTGATTGTAAAAAAAAATTAATTTGTTAAAATATTTGTGCCAACCCTGGCATGACTTTCTGGCTTTGGATATAATTTATGGACATAATTAAGGGATTTAATGCATTATGATCATTGAACTGATAGTGTTGTCCTAGAATCTTCAGTAGGGGCCTTTAGTCTTTTGATTAGAGTAGGGGTCATGAGAGAGTAGAGCGTACCGCCTTGCCATAGTCGCGAGTCTGTTTATAGTCGCGACTGTTCGCATAAATAGTGACCTGCACGAATGGTGTAACAACTGTCCCGCTGTCTCCGACATGGACCTGGTGAAATTGAATTCTCCGTGAAGATGTGGAGTACCAACGGCTAGACGGTAAGACCATGTACACCTTAACTAGGGACTCAGTGATAATTTAATGTTGGGACTTATTGACAATCTAATGGCCAAAATCGTTAACACTTTAAATTATGTCTTAATAACATTGCTCTTTGCAAATAGTAAAACATTAAATCATAGTGCTCAATTCAAAGCATAGAAACCCAAAAAAAGGAAAAATATTATTTGAACATAATTTGAGGATTTAATCAATTATAGTTGTTGGATTAAAAGTTTAGAGTAATTCTATTTAGACCTAAAAATTTAACCTAACTTGTTAATATAATGATGTGATGTTAAACTAATGGACCTTTGGTCTAATGATACTTTTTATCTAGTGAAAATTTTACCTTTTTGATGTCAAGAGTACAAGCCATCTTCCTCCCTCTCCTCTCCCCCTCCCAAAAAAAAATATTTAAAAAAAATGATGTGATTTTAGTGAAACTATTTAATCAACACCCACTTTCAATATTTTATGGAATTGACAATCAATCAAAAGGTCACAGAAAATTAAGTCATAATATTAGATCGATAAATTAAGTCTTAATAACGTTGCTCAAAAGTTTATTTCACCTAACAACTCATCTTAATTACATAAACTCTCTTAGAACTCTTGCATCATTAAATAAAAAAAATATTAAAAATTTATCAATAAAAATAAATAAAATTATAATGAGCTAATTTATGAACTTAATTGGTGACATAATTCATCATCTCAAGTAACGGCCAATTAAGGAAACTTGAAGGTAAAGTATGATTTGATTTCTAAATCTCATCAAGTTGGGGTGAGTAATTAAAACACGGGGTGAGTAATTAAAACACTAACGAAAAAGGAAACAAAATCTGAGAGACCTTAAACCCAAAGATCTCATCAGACACAGCCAACGACACATATATATAAAATCAAAAATTCAGAAAGAAGAACAGCCAACCTCCTGAGTCCCAATGTACAAACCTCCGCCATCGTCTCTCCATAAACCCTAAATTCCACCACCCGATGTATTCTTCACCTCCGTTTTCTTTGATTTCTCTCCCCTCTCTCCGAAAAGTTTCACCATTGTAAAGCAATGGAGTCGTTGATCGAACTCTGCGATCTGATCGCACAAAATCTTTCGCAGTTTGCTGATAAATTGGCTTGGATTTGTGGCCGATGTCCACCGATTGACTCTGTACTCGCCACCGCTAGATTTCTTTCTAAATGCCCCAATTTCGACGACATGAGGCCCTAACCGGCAGTCCTAGGGTTTTTTAAGTCGATTCCGTATTCTTTTTGGCCACAGTCGTTTGGAAGCGATTCAATCGATTCGTTCGATTTTTTGAGTTATGTGAATAAAGCCAGTGAGTTGTCGTCGGATTTTGCCATGGCCGTTCCGGAGTGTACGGGAGAGATTGTGATGTCGGCGATTAACAATGTCAGTGGGGATTTGGGGGTTTCAAGGGTTTTCTTGAATGCTCTGTTGCAGTATTTTCCTCAAATTCTTCCTTCCTATGCGCACAAATTAGTGTCCACTCTTCTAGATGGATTTGAAATTTCGGTTCCTAGTTCACCGAAGCAGCTAGTTGCGATAACACCTGAAGCGTCATCGTCTCAGAGTTCGCCCCTCAGTGCAAACCATTATCAATCAAATGAGAGAAACAGTCCAGGAAACGAGGTCAGCAATGCCTCTAGTTCTTCGAGCGGTGAGGCTTCAAGGGTTACAGATGAGAAGACCAGTGCATTGTCGTCGAAAGGATTGGTGATGAATGGGGGCAGCCTTGCGTGTAAGAGCAATGTGGATATATTTGGTGCTGGTGTTGGGTTCAATGATGGAGGAGGAGGCGGTTCCGCGACGTACAAGCGAGTGGTAGCCTCTTTTGAGGAAGAGCCTGTGGAGAGCCTTCAACAACAGGAGATTGCTTTCAAGCTGATTGGGACACATATTGGATAAAGTCCAGATTGATCTTAAGCTTTTGGAACAAGTGAGGGCCATTCGCCAAGGAGCAACTCCAATCAATGTTGGCTTTCCTAAAGGTAAAATTCATGGGTATCCACCCTTTTGGTTTTGAATTTTATTGATGTCTTGATGAAAAAACTATATAGATGAATGATAAAGCTGGTTAAAATATTTGGTTTTGTTGGCAGATAAGGAAGCGTGACCGGACGGAACAGGGGCAGTTACTGAAAGTTAGAATCAATAAAAAGCTGTCGGTTTATCAAGCTGCAACCAGGTTACAAATCAATAGTCTTTCATCTGTTGATTTGGATGGGAAGTCAACGAAGAGGTTGTTGCATGGAACTTTGGCATTGTTGATAGAAGCTGCTGAAGCATGTTTATTCTCTGTCTGGCGAAAGTTGAGAATTTGTGATGAGCTCTTCGGCTTATTGTTTGTGGGGATTTCCCAAATTGCTCTCACTCGTTGTCGTCAGCTGCTGCGTGTCTTGCTCATTCGCTTCAAACCCCTTGTGTTAAGTACATGTGCTCAGGTACATTATCTGTTTGCTTAGGGCTATCTCCTGCAGCTGGGGCGTATCTTGGTAACATGATTCTGCAATATGTTGCACTTTTTTGGGTAAACTTTTATTGTGATATATATATATTTGCAAACAGTCAGAGACTTGAGGCAGATTTTCTAGGACCTCTATTTCTTGTTGTGGCTAAAATATGTTCAGATTTTGATCCTATTGTATATGTGGAACCTGCACTTTTGAAGTTATTCTGCAATTTGTGGTTCTATGTTGCTCTCTTCGGGTTTGCACCTCCAATTCAAAAAACTCTATCTCCGACAGTCAGTTTCCCGTAATCTGAATAGTGTAGGGAATTTCTCTTCAAGCAGTAGGTGGGCCATACATGTCGAATACTCAGTGGCCTTCTGCTGTTCAGCGTATTTCTCAAGGGACCCCACCTCTTGTAAGTTGATCAATAAAAAATCTTCCCTGATTCTGTTCTCCGATTGACTTTATCGTTAATATCTCTTTATATTTTACTCCGAGATTTAGCTAAATTCTGTTTACTCTTTTTATGGATGTCTTATTCATATGTAGGAATTCGACCAATTTATTGCTACTTCTGGAGATCAATTTTGTCATATTTTAATGGTGATAAAAAAAGTCAAATTGGATTCACATCTGAGAAATCTAATATGACCTTTACATCGCAGCGATGCATATATATTGCATGTATCTGTGTCATTAATTTTATCAATTGTTTTTTTCACGTACAAGTATTGTGACTAAATTGTAGTTTTGGAGATAAACCCCAGCTTACAAGCACCTATTCCAAAATTGATTAAGCATACTTTCCTCATCTATTTTGCCCAGTTTGCCTAGAACTTTTTTATCCTATTCACCAAATACTTATTCTGAACACTTGATGTTCTAATGTCTGTTTCATATTTTGTTGGGTCATTTATTTATTTATCAATATGGTGGCTCGAAATGGGAAATTTGTAATGACTAAGCATGTATAGTAATTTATCCTTGCAATTATGCTTGAAACAGTTTAATAAGGTCTTTTTAACCAAAAATTATATCTCTATTCAATTGATTTTCGTATATGTATATGTTTAAGTATGAGAATGATCAATCTTTCCTTTTCTACTAGGCATTATTCAAGGCATAAAACTATTCTGCTGCCAATTACTTCTTTACAGTATTTTATGTCTTACATTTTTGTGCCATAACTCAATGTGACAATTACTTGAATTTTTGTGTCAATTAATTGCTTGCAGTATTATATTTCTTAAATTTTTGTGCTATGACTCAATGTGTAATATTTGCTTATTGAGTGCAGTATCTTAAAGATGGTGGAGAAAAGACTGACCTATTGAAATTTGGGAGGCTCATAAATCCACAATCCAAGCATTTGCTTGTGAAAGGTATAGATTTTTCTTTGGGTATTGTATGGTATTGATTTTGTGGTATGATTTTGTTAGCATTTTCTTTTCTTCTCTTCTCGTGAAGTTCTTAATTATTATCCTTAATCTCTCTCTTTTGTTTAAGATTTCTTGTAGTTATCAAACTATAAAGACACTGATGTTGAAACTTGAAGATCCTACACCATGTTGCTTTGGATACGAATGAAAAATGACAGTTTTGTTTATGGTAATTCAAGTTTAAGTGACACAACTCTACACATACTTTTGAAGAGCATACAAGTCGGCTTCTTGCATGACTATTCCTTTTGAATATCTTTGAGTAGATGTTATAGTTTTCATTTTTAAATATTAATGTGTTTTTATAATAATTGTGGTGGTTGTTTGAAAGTTTTCAATGGTAGTAATTATCGTATTCTAGATGATCTTTAAATTTGCAAGTTATGAAAAAAGAACACATTAGTTTTCAGACCCTAGTTGACTTGGACGCAGAAATGGACGTGTCTTGGTGGCATCTTGCATCATGACGCCCCGTGAATTCAAAGCAAGGTGATGTTGCTAAGATATTCGACAAAAGTCTAAGCGCTATGTCTTAGGCTCTCGTTATGTTTTCTCGGTTTAGAAGATGTTCGCTAAAGTCTTTTTTGGAAAACCTCCATAAAACATATATAGGGGATAGAGATAGTTGAGGGGCACCAAGGGTCTAGCTAGCCTCGTGCCCTCAAGCTTTGGCACCGTTGAGCAAGATATAAATGTGTCTATGTTTCTTTGGTGTATTAGTGTATGAGTGTATTAGTGTGTGTGAACAGAGTGTATGAGTGTTTATTTGATGTATTAGTGTGTGTGAACGGAGCGTATGTTTTTGGGTTTTTTTTTGGGTATATTAGTGTATGCGTTAGTTTATGTTTCGATAATATTGTGTTTTATTGTGTTTATTTGTTTGGTGCAGGAGAATGTATGTATTTTTGGGTATATTAGTGTGTATTAACACGGTGTGTGGGTGTGCATGTATATGTTGATTAGCTGGGGTGTGTGTGTGTTTTGGTGTATTAATGTGTGTGTTTTAGTGTATTAGTGTGTGTATTTGTGTTCGTGTAATAGTGTGTGTTATTGTATATTAGTGTTCGTGTTTTTGGTGGATTAGTTTGTGTTAACACTACATGTGATGGAATGTATGCATTTTGTGAATGTGTATGTGTATTTTTTGGTGTATTAGTGTGTGCATATTTTAGATGGTGTATTAGTGGGTGTGTGTGATATGAGATGATGTATTAGTGTTTGTGTATGTGTAATAGTGTGTTTGTGTATGTGTATGTTGGTGTCTATGATTTTTGATGCATTATGTGTATTTTATTGTGTAGTAGTGTTTGTTAACACATCGTGTGTGGGTGTGTATGTATTAGTGTGTTTATGTGTGTTTGTTTCAGTGATGGTGTGCGCATACATGTGTATTTGTGTAATAGTTTGTGTATGTGTGTGCATGCCTTTAGTGTGTTAGTGTGCATGTTATTTTGGTGTATTAGTGTGTATGTTTTTTAATTTAAGGGGGCAGTGAGTTTTCATTAGCGTATGTGTATTCTTTTAATCAATGTGTTTTTGTGTGTGTTTTTATGTGTACAATGTGTATTTATTTTTATAAATTTTTTTTTTGGTGTATTGGTTTTTATGTTTATTGTGATTGGTTGTTGGCGTGTATGTTTTTATGATAGTATGTCTGTATCTCTCTTATCTTGAGTGTTTTTGTGTTTTGATGTGTATAACGTGTTTGTGTGTGTGGTTATTACTTTGTTTTTTTTTTTTGTTATCGAAGTGTTGGTGTGTATGTGCCTCCTCATGTGTCTGTGCTTGTATTTTTATTTTTTATTATATGTATCTTTATTACTATATGACTATTTTAAAGTTTGTTTCTGGGTTTCCAGATTGAGTCCATTTTTTATAACCCTATTGTAACAATTTTTGAGTTTTGCCTAGAAGTCCACACAATGATTTATCAAGCCTTTTACTTGTAGAAGTGGATGCCTTGATACCTTTGTTTAAGAATTCTTAACTGCAATTGGTTGATTTTCGAAAGTAGGTATGTTTTTACCATATGGGTTCATTTAGATCATTTGTTAGGCTGTTTCGTCAAAAAGTGAGTTTCTTATGTTTGGTCAAAGATTGATGGAAAACTCACCGATCTCTAGAAAGAGGTAGCCACTTAAGACATAGTACCGCAAGACGCTGGCCGAGTTTAGTAAGGAGCGTTTATGTGTAGATTCTCAATACATCCATAAATATGTAAGCACTTACTTACAAATTAGGTACCTAACCTTCAGGTGAGCTTGTTACAGATGAACCTTATTTTGTAAATAAAAACCTTTTTTTCTTACTTCTCTTTTTTTTTTTTTGTTGGACTTCGAAGTTCATAAGTATCTTCCTCAATGATAAACTTAAATCTTTTGGTTAAGATTTCTTACGGTTATCTAACTATGCTTTAGATAAGAATAACTGATATGGATTGTTGTTAATGGTAACACAAGTTCCTATGACACAACTTTAGTGGTTTGGAAAGGGAGGACATGTGTGCATACCTTCGCAGGGCATACGGGTTCGTTTCTTGCATGGTTTGGTCTTTCCTATAATTGGTCTATTGGTCATCATTTAAGGTATATGACCCCTCTGTTGTCAATTACTTCCTTACAATTTTTTGTTCCTTCAAAATTTTTATGTCATTTAACTTCTATGTCACGAGTTTTGATATTCTCTATTAATTATAGTATATTAAGATGGTGGAGGAGAGACCAACATGTTGAACTTTGGAAGGCTTACAAGGTTATAATTTAAGCAGTTATACCTTCAGGTGAGTTTTTTATAAGTGAACATTATTTTGCTTGATTTGAGGTATGATTGTGTAAGTTTTTTCCTTCTCTTTCATTCTCTTCTCTTTTTTGTCTTGAACCTTGAAGTTCTTTAGTATCTTCACTATGATCTCTCAACGATCAAATTAAGTGTTTTGCTCAAGTTTTCTTATAGTTATCAAACTATGCTTTGGATAGGAATGATTGATATGGATTGTTGCCAATCATAATGCAAGTTCTAGTGACAAAATTTTAAACTTGGGAAAGGGAAGACATGTGTGCATGCTTTCGTAAGGCTTGCGGGTTCTTTTTTTTTTTTTGCATGTCTACGTGACTATTTCTTTTGCATATATTTTATTGCATATGATAGTTTCTATTTAAAATGCTAATGATTTAGAAATATGGTTTGGTCTTTCCATTAATTGGCCTACTGGTCATCATTTAAGGTATATGACTCCTCTGTTGCCAATTACTTCTTTGTAATTTTTTGTTCGTTCAAATTTTCATACAATTTAATTGTTGTGTTACGAGATTAGACATTACATTAAGACGGTGGAGGAGAGACCAACATGTCAAATTTTGGGAGGTTTACAAGGTAGTAATTTAAGCAGTTATGAAGTTACCATCAGAGTAGCATTTTACAAGTGAATATTGTTTTGTTTAACTTGAGGTATGTTTGTGTAAGCTTTTTCTTTTTCTTTTTTGTATTGAACTTTGAAGTTCTTAAGGTTCTTCCTTATGATCTCAATGATCAACTTTAATTCTTTGCTTAAGATTTCTCACAGTTATCAAACTATGCTTTGGATATGAATGATTGATGTGGATTGTTGTCAGGTAATGTAAGTTCTAATGACAAATTTAAAGCTTTGGAAAGAGAGAACATTTGTGCATACCTTCTTAGGGCATACAGGTTTGTTTTCTTGCATATATACGTGACTATTTCTTTTGCATATATTTTAGTATGTATGATAGTTTATATTTAAGATGCTTAGAATTTATACTTTTCCTTAATAATTGTTTGTGTGTTGGGGGGTTGATAGAAATATGGCTGTCTTTCCTATAACCAGTAAGTCATCATTTAAAGGTATGTGACTCTTCTATTGCCAATTACTTCCTTTCAATTTTTTGTTCTTTAAAATTTTTATGCTATTTAACTGTTGTGTCACGAGGTTAGATATTTCCTATTGATTGCAATACATTAAGACGGT